AACGTTAGCTTTAGCCTTCGTTTTCTAATAGTTTTTTTCATAGGCTATAAACGGAGGTGGTATAAGTATAGATCTTGTGCTTGAGTAAAAGTAGAAGTGCCAGAATGTAGGAACAATTCTGCATTCAAAATGTTCCTCAAATAAAAGTAGAAAAGTATTCATCAAAATATAGTGAAAGTAGCGACAGTAAAAGTAGTCATTGTGCAGATTGGTCCATTTCAGAATAATATATATGATATGTTTTATAATGATTGATGTGTTCTCAAAGCTGGTAAAGGTGCAGCTAGTTTGAATGACTTTGTATACTGCAGGGTAGCTGGTGGATTTACTCCAGGTGGAACTAAAGTCTGATTTAACACTTGATTAGATTTCACATCATTCATCCAGATCTGTGAAGTAACTAAAGGTATTAAATACATGTAGTGGAGTAAAAGTACACTTTTTACCTCTGAACTGTAGAGGAGAAGAAGAACAAAGTAGCAAAACATTGAAATACTTAAATAAAGTACAAGTATCTCAAAATTGTACCCAAGTATAGTACTTGAGTTTATGAACTTAGTTACTTTACACCAGATGCCATAAAGATAGAAAGACTAAGCCTTGCACAGAGGCATGAAAATACATTTTCAAAATGCTCAACAGTGCTGCCAAAATTATAAACTGACTGCTACACAATTAAAATAAATGCTTTTATATATTTCTATTAGATGTGACTCTTTGGCGTTTCTGTTATTATTGACACTGCTGCTTTAGTTGTTCTGACTGCTAACATCCTGTTATTCCTCATTTTAAAGCCGATATTCCGTGGGGTCGGGGGCTCGGATCCTTGTCACCTTTTTCATACCTGATGAGTTTGCATCCCTGGGAACAAGGCTTCATAATATCCTCCACAACAGCTATATAAACACTACAAAACAGATTTTGACAATTTTTGCCAAGTCTGAAGGTCTCAAAAAAAAAAAAGAGTGTATCATTTGGTGTCCGGGGCTGGGGAGACCCAGCAGAATTGTTGGGGGTGACTCAGGGTCAAATTTTGCCCAATCAAGATTCATCTTTGACTTAGACACCCCTCCCCCACCCCCTTCATCCACTGTAACACATTTATTTCACAACATGCACCTGGTCTCCCCTCCCTCTGCCCCCCTCCCCCCACGGGAACTCCACCTTTCTCAAAGAATATGTACACTAACACTTGAACCTGAACACACACATGCACGTGTTCAATATGTGCTGTAATGTGTTTTGGGCCATAACATTAAATTACAACAGGATTGTACGGTTATGAATGCATTATAAGTTAGTTATGATGTAGTAGTTTTTGTGTGTTTTGGACTGAGATAAATCATGGGTCAAAATTGACCCGCGAACACCATGAACGGTAACAGCTTTAACACAAGGGTTAAGCTGTACTGGGCAGCTTTATTTGTTGGCCGCCCCAAATAGTTTCTGATTAAATCATGTAGGAAGAAGTCATTAAATTACTCGCAGCGTGCTGTTTACCACTAAGAGTTCTCCCTGATGTTCAGCACAAACATTGAGGCCATTTCATATCAATAAGAAGACGATGAAAAAGCCACTATTTTAATAATGGATCGATTTTTTTGAGGATTTTCACAAGAACAAAAATGTCAAACATTTGTTAGATTCTTTTTATTTAATCTTAAACTGAATATCCTTGGGCTTTCAAAAAATCTGTCGCTTCCTGGCTTTAGAACTAAGAAAGTCATATTTTTATTTTATTGAATCAATGGTCCATATCCAATATCGATGCGTTTACTTTGATTTAAGACCACGAAAACCAGCAAATTCCACATTTGTAAAGTTGTAACTGTAAAGTGGCTTTATATCCATTACTGATTTGATATCAATATATTTCCCGGGTTGTTCTTGCGAATATATCTTCTGATATTTATTCCCTTACTAGCCCGTCTTAATCTCATACCTTCCATATTTCAGGGAGATATGAAAGCTTAACTCACCGCTGTCAAACGGATATAAATTACGATAACGTTTTTCCTGCATATCTTGAGTGCTGTGAGTTACTGAAAAGATATCAGGAAAGATGAATAAAACCAAATGTTTGGAAAGTGAATCTATTTTAACGATTCCTTGATTTAACGTAAGATTTGATCCATATCTTCCAGAAAAATATGACTACGTGGGCAGATTGCTGAAGCCCGGAGACGAGCCGTCGGAGTACACGGACGAGGAGGACATCAAGGACCACCTGAAGCACGACTGAGCTGCATCACAACGACCAAAGCCGGGAGACCCCAAACAGCTGCGACAGACCACCCCCCTCGCCCACATCTACCTGCCACTCCTCTCTCCATCCCCCAAAAAACTCTTCACCTCCTCGATCTGTCCGGCTGTTCTGGAAGGACCCCCTCTTCATCCTGCGGAGATGACCACCAACGATTGAAATCCTTCAATGAGGGCTCTTTTAACAAAATAAAAAATAAAAACATGTCTGGGGGGGGAAGAGGAGAGAGGGGATGTGCAAGTAGATGTCTTCGAAATATATTTTAGAGTCATTTCTCCCAGAGGGGGGTCATCGTGGAGGTAGAGAAACACGTGGAGGATGATCATCGGGACGGGGGAGCAGATTTCTCTCTTTTTATCTTTAGTCACAACTGAAACTGCTTCGGCTTCGGACAGCTTATCAATCAATCTTTCTTTTTTGTGTTCGGATAATTTCCCCTCGTTGTCGAGAGGGCTGCGCTGCGGAAATCGGCGGGGCGTCGCATTTTCCTGTTGTGTTTGTAGTGTATGCACTACTAGTTTTCTTTGTTTGTCACCATGTGATTGTATTTTGTTGAGTAGCATATAGGGAAGAGAGGGAGGGAGTTTCTCTTTTTGGATGGGGTTGGGGGGGGGGGGAGTTTAAAAAGGTCTTTGCCATATGAATTCTGTTTTGAATCCCACGAGACGGACTGAATCACTGATCGGGAATACAAAGGGAAGGTGGGCAGTCCTAATCAATCCACTCAATTGTTTACATGCCTCACAAGCCGGCTGCAAGTCTGTAGATTCCCCCTGAAAATGGTCCAAGTATTAATTGTGCCTTATTTTGTTTGTTGCGTCAGTCCTGACCGTTCTAACGGAGGGAGGCGAGCGGAGGGATGGAGCAGCGGTTCCCCCCCCCCCCCCCCCCCCAGACTTTAAAAGAAGAAGGCATACGTTCAGTCAGTCGTCCCACACACACAGACTGTACAAATCTCCCCACTTCACAAACTCTGTAAATAAACCGTATGAGTTACTCAGTGTTACTGCCATATTTATGTAGTTGAGGAACTCCAGATATGTGTAATGCGATGTCGTCCTGGCCAAAACCCCCATGGTTCCTTTCTTCTTTTTTTGGCTCTGAACTTCTTTTTAAAAAACGTGGGTGATTTCCCCCCCCTCCTCACCCTCCCACCCAAAAAATGTAAAAGGAGTGTTGCAAAGGGCGGGAACGGGAGCTGTTCTTGCGAAATTTTGTTCGGAGACGTTGCTTATCCTGTAAATATATCTATCATTTTATTAAAGCATGTGCAACAACAAAGTGAGCTATGCCGAATTTCCCACCACGTCATGTATTTAAATGTTGGGTGTGTGCGTGTCTGCGTGACAGAGGCAGGAAGGGATTTGTTCATGCATAATAAATCGATTTGGTTAATAATTGAAGATGTCTGGAATTTTATTTGCTCTCGGGGGCGGCAGGATTTGATCACTAACGGGAAAATATTTTATAGTTCATTGAAATGTTAATGGCTGTTCACCTGCAGGGAAAACAGAAAGGTGCTTTAAAGTTTAATGATTGACAAGATAATAATGCTTAAAACTCATCAGCAGACAGATTATTATGACAATGAATTAAAGTTCTGTTATTTACAGTGTGGTTAGACTGAGTTTCAGTGTGATGGTGGTTCTCCTGCATATCTTCAGTGCGGTGGATATGTGAAAAACATTTGGGAACAAACTGTACAGCCGGCAGACCGCTGCATGGCAAAGCTCTCAGTCATTAAAACCAGATGTACAGGAAACACCAAAAGCAAACTGAGAGGGAAATATGAAGGCGAAGTTTTACATTTTACACTCTGTATTCCTGTATTGTTACCAAGCAAGACGTCAAGACTTATGGGCTGTTTTAGATGGTTTCTTACCTTGCTATTTGCAATCTTCATTTTTGAATATGGGTACTTAAAGGTGAATAAAAAAATTAAAAGTTGTCATCAGATTATTTGACAACGCACACTTGGTACTTTTCCTTAATGGAATTTGATGCACAAATTTAAAAAAGGAAGGAATTTGTATTTATTTAGCACGGACATACATGAATATAGCAATAAATAAATACATGTATAACTTCATATGATTAAAAAAATAGGGAAATTAATATGGACTTAAAATATTCAGGAACATATTTTAATTCTTAAGTAAAAGAAACAGAATATTAAGGAAAGATAGGTTAGTTAATATATTGGGAGATATTATGTAGATAGTTATTTAATGAAGAAATACCAGAACAGTATTAAAACTAATAAGGGTATATTTATCATATCATACTACTCGATTATAATAATTTATAACTTATAAATTGCTTATTTATCATTGATGTATTAAATAATATTTTTCATTTACATCTATATTTATTACAATTGTATACCATGGAAGGTAATCCATCCAAATTATATGTATTATTATTAATAATGTATTTGTATTTAAAATGTGTGTATTACATATTATTTTTCATTTCTTTATTATTTTTAATTTGATGTATATATTTTTTTAATATTGTTTTTTGTATTTGTGAATAAAAAACAATCAAAACATTTATTATTATTAGTGTAACTGGGTATAGTTGAAGTTTAATCATCCCGATTAATATTTTATTTGTAACATTTTAACATATAATAGACATTATTGTACAAAGAGAATCGTTAAGGGTCATCAAACAGTAACATAAAAACGTGGTCATCAACAATACAGCTCAACAGCGCCCCCAGCTGGCACCCGGATGATCCAGGAACCTCACACACTGATTTCTGTATGTGTGTGTGTGAAACTAATCGTAAGTGTTTCTTATCGGCCATCGCTGCAGCGATAAGCCGAAGAAGATCACTTTAAGATCCGGAGCAGAGATGTGTTTTTTCCCGCTGACTGTCGACCATCTCAGATCTCCACCGAAGGGACAGAAGCTCCTGAACGCACCTCCGACATCTTGGCTGTTTTTGGGCTAAAAAAACTATAAAAACAGCATCCGTCTTCCGCTCAAAGACCCGGGTCATCTTGGTAGCTTTCCAGACAACAGCAATCCAAAAGAAGGCGAGGTTTGTCCACATTCATGCACATTAAAGTGACATGAACCCTGCATTTATTTAAAATCCTGTTTTAGTTGTGTCTGCAGAAGAATAATGGCAGAGCATCTGTCCCAGAGTGAGCTGGATTACCCGTTCAAAACTTCTGGAGTATTTCAACGGATTCAGGGTCTCAAAGGTAACATTTTTTACTTCTAGATTATTCAGTCATATAATAAACATTAAGATAAGTTTGCATGATTGTAACAGGGGTTGCTTCTAATCGATGTTGCCATTCATACTGCTTGTTTTTGTCTTAAAATCACAGTCTAAGCCTAAAACCTGAAGATATTCGTTTTATATCAATAACAAAATCTTCTGAATAATTTAAGATTGAGCCATAAACAATGAATCAGTTATCCTCATTTAAAATACATTTAATAGCAGGAGGCTTAAACCTAGATAAATCTTTATTTTATTTTATTAAACACTTAAAAAACAGTAAACATGTCCAAATGTAAAAGTTGGAAACAGCATTTTCAAGCAGTATGTTGCAATGAAAAGTCATGTAAATGAAGATTAATTTAAAAAAGTGTCTATAACTTTAAAGATTACTATCCTTATTTATATGTTTGGAATCTGACTTATTATCTCAGCACTGATCTGGTGATTATTTGGCTGATTTTTTAAATGTATTATCTTTCTCTAAACTAAAAGCACCCATTGCACTTTGCAGGGAACGCTGAGAAGAATCCAGGAAACAGTTGAGAAACAAATTGATTTCAAAGCATTTCAAAAACATGTCGAGAAAGAATAAACTCTCTAAATTGAGCATGCCTTGCAGCTCATTAGAAGTTTATTGGCCGTGCATTAATGTGAATTAATCACTTGTGAATCACTTTTTAAGAGGAAGACAAAATGTGGGCATAGGGAATAATTAAATTGAGTTCTCCTGGCAGAGGCAGCATTAAGTCTTATCACACGATCTTCATCAGCCTGATTGGAGTTCTCCCAGTTCTCATGCAAGTTAAAAAATGTTATTTCAGCATCTTCTCATCCATGTGGACTTAAAGAGGCTCGATTATGCTTTTCCCTTTCCTGTAGTGTGTTATACTCTTGTGCACGTGCACGTACATGGTCTGCAAAATTACTTCCAGAGGGAGTTTTGTCTGTGACATAATGACGTAATACTCTAAGCGGTAGACCAATCACAAAAGAGCCGGCCATCTAACCAATCAGAGCAGACTGGGCTTTGGTTTCAGACAGAGGGTGAAAAGAGGTGCTGCAGCACAGGCAGTATGAGGGAAATAAAAAGCTTTCTGATCTTTAGAACATGGAGACATGTCAAAGTAGAGGCACAAAATATGAACCTGAAAATGAGCAGATTATGGGCAGAGCTTCCTTTTTGAAACATAACTTCGGGAAACTGGCCATGAGTTCCATTATAGTAGCTCTTCTGGATTAGCAGCTGTAATTTGCTCCTCTCACAGAATGATGTGATGATGTGTGTTGGTCGCTGCAGGTGATTTTCTCAGCCTGTGAGCTGGGTGTGTTCGACCTCCTGCTGAGAAGGCCCAGGAAGCCAATCAGTGGCTCAGCAGTGTGGGCCCAGGATCTCAGCTGCAAGCGAGGGGGACGGGATGGAGAGACTGAATGGACGCCCGGGTGGGGCATAGAGATCCTGGGGGTGGAGACCAAAGACGGGACAGGTGAGGAGGAGGAGGAGGAGGAGGAGGGAGGAAGGAGGAGGAGGAGGAGGGAGGAGGAGATGCTTCTTCTTCTTCTTCGTCTTCCTTCTTCGTTCTTCTTACTTCTTCTTTCTTCTTCTTCTTACTTCTATCTTCCTTCTTCGTCCTTCCTCTTCCTTCCTTCCTCTGATAATTGCACTTAATATTATTGCACTATAATAAATGTCATTATTATGAATGTACTTATTGAACTAAAATACTCTCTGTTGAAGTAAAATAAATTCAATGATTGCACTAAATTAAATGTCATTGTTGGCATTAGTATGAATGCAAATGTTGCACGAGAATACATGTTAGTATTTTCAGTAGAATAAATTATATTAGTTCACTAGAAAATAATTACTGCCCAGAAAAAAACCTAAGTTAAAAGTTATAGCACTAGTAATGAAATGTAATTATTGTAACTAGAGTAAATGTAATTATTGAATTTAAGCACAATCATTACTGAAATTCAGTTATTATACTTGAATACATTTTATTTGATTAAATGTAATTATCTCTCAGAGGCTCCAGGTGACAAAGAAAATAGTCAAGTTTGCACATTTGAGAAGCTCGAATTGTTTTATTTTTCAAAACCACTTAAAATGTTGAACATATCTTCTATCAGACTATTCGTTCTGTTTCCAGTGAACTGACACTAACACATTTACTTCTGCATGTAATGCCTGCTGTTGCTGCTGTGAATGTCCCTGTTGGGAGTGATGACATCCTGATTTAAAGTGTGAATGTGTTTCGTTAAAACAAGCTTTGGTAGCAGCAGCAGCGACGTGGCTAATCTCCTACCCTCGCCGAAGGCAGCGGGAAGTCCTCTCCACGACATGATCATTTACCAATCACAGACCATCTACCCCGCTGTGGAACAACATGGCGGACGCTGTCAGGTCAGATTATTAAAAGAGCCCTATTATGTTTTTGGGGTGTTCCCCTTTCCTGTAGTGTGATATACATAGGTTTCATTTCTGCAAAGGCTAACATCCCCGTGTTCCATCCAGAGGAAGTTTCTCTCCCACACACTCCCTCCCCCCCCCCTGCCTGAAATGGCCTCCATTGGACTCCATTGTTTACTTCCTAACTTAGTGACATCACCTGTGCACACTATGCACTATGCACTTCTATTGGCTATCGCTCCAACACATTGTAAGTGATAGGCTAAGGGGCGGGAAAATCTCTAAGCAGTTGAAGCCCTTTAAACTGAATACAGAGCAAACATTTCAATAGTCCACAATTTTCTCATGTACAACGCTGTAATTTTCTCATTTTCCACTGCGGCAGGAGAGGGGAAGAATCAAAATTGAAAAGACGTTCGGCCTCCCATCAGAGGATATCTTCAAGGCTTTGTACAGGTCGGTGTTCCTTTTGTAGCTTCAGGTGCATACATGTGAAATTTCACTCTAGTGCTGGAATATTTTTTAGTTTTATGATTCTCTAATTGGTTCCCCTCAGATCAGAGAGGAGAGATGCTGAAGTTCATGGGTCTGATGAACTCCTCCTGGGTGCTCGATGGACACGACATTGTGACGGCGTTCAACCTCTCCGGCTTTCAGAAGATTGTAGATCTTGGAGGTTAAACGCCCTCTATACATTTCACAGTAGTAGCTCTTCAAAAGATGTTCATGTTACAATTTATCTTATTGTTGTTTTGGCCAAATTGACATTATAAAATGACAAAAATGTCAGATGTTTGCAGAAAAATGACCAAAGACATAACTAAACTAAAGTCCAGTATGTTTCCCACTGCAAACTGACCATATTCTCTCTGAATAATTCCCAGGATGCACTGGGGCTCTGGCCCGTGAGATGGCGAAGGCGTGGCCGTCCTCCTCCGTCACGGTGCTGGACCTCCCGCAGGTCGTAGAGGCGGCGCAGAAACATTTCCCACAGGAGGACGACGCTGTTGAATTTCAAAGTGGTGAGCCTCTTTCTGACTCTTCATTCAACACTTCAAGAGTTTACTATTAGAAAAATTAAATCTAGAATTCTATACGAAATGACTTGACCCTATTGTATATCGTAGATTTAAAATGACATGTTTGACTGTTTAAAAATAAAATCCAACAGAATGAACGCAAAGTAAAAATGTTTGCTCACATGCTTTCTGTTGCTGATGCAGGAGACTTCTTCAGTGATGAGATCCCTCCGGCTGACCTCTACATTCTGGCCAGGATCATTCATGACTGGCCAGAAGAGAAGTGCGTCACTCTGCTGAAGAAGATCCACGACAGCTGCAGACCAGGTGAGTTCAAGTGTCAATTAAAAACGGGTGCTGTTGGCAAACTACATGTAATGGGCATAATGTGTATTATACTATTATACATATTTTTTCCAAAATAATTTGTCATATTCATATGATATTCTCTTATTACTACATCTTATTTTTCCTGTACACCTTTTTTTAAATATAACAATAGTTTTTATATAAGATTTTACAATATCTTAAATTGTCATCTTTTTTTCTGTGTACATTTTAGTTTCATGTACCCTATATTCGTTTTTACAATATTACCTGCAGGCGGTGGCGTCCTGCTGGTAGAGGCCCTGCTGTTTGAGAACAGGCGGGGGCCGGTCACCGCTCAGATCTTCTCCCTCAACATGCTGGTGCAGACGGAGGGTCGGGAGCGACCGCCGTCCGAATACACCCGCATCCTCGAGAAGACCGGCTTCCACAACGTGCAGGTGTGCCGGACCGGGAAAGTTGCTACGACACCATCCTCGCCACCAGATGAGACGGGCAGTAAAGAAACTTAAACTTAAACTTTCAAAGACTTTTTAAGATATAAGCTATGAAAAAAACAAATTCTCAGTCTCAGTGCACATGGATCCCCAGTTTATGTTGTGTCAGGGATTTTTTTTAAAGATATTGTTGGACAATGTGAATTGCTTTTCTTGGTAATACAAATATTTTCTGCATTTAAGTTGCTGATGGATATTGTAAAAGAATGAGGGCAAAAGGTTATGTTCACTCAATCAATTCAGGTTAAAGGGTAAGTTAGACTTTTTGGGAAATACTCTTTTTAGCTTTCTTGCTGAGAGAAACATTAAACAGCTACCACTCTCTAACGCTAGTAGCTTAGCATAATGACTGGAAACAGAGGGAAAAAGCTAGTCTAGCTTTGTCCAAAAATGAAAATAACTTTTTTGTCAGGGTTTAACACTCATAAAAGCCAATTAAAAAAACCTTCAAAAGCAGTGAAAGTTTAAAAAAACACTGAATTTGTTTAGCTAATGAAAATGTGTGTGTAGTGATTTTGCGTGCTACTGTGACTGTTTCTGGCTTTCCTGTTCCCTGTGGTGAGTTCAGGTACCCTTTCAGGCTGCATTAGATCTGCAGGACCACCCTCAGTTTACCTCCATTTTCCTCTGCTGGTGTTAAAATCTCCCATTTCTATTTTTGTTGCATGTTAGTTGTGTAAAGTAGTTTAAGGAAATAAATAACTGTAGCGTTACTATGGACTCATATTGATTTCTATACATTTTTCATAATGTCTTTTTTTATTTATAAAATGTTTTTGTTTTAGCTACTCTTTATACTTCTACATTTTAAATACGTTACATACATACTGGAAATGTTCCCATATTAAGTACATGCAAGATTACAGTATAAGGGAGCTTTTTTTTTTTTTAAATGAATGGTGTCAATATTAAATACATGGTTGATAGCAAAAATGGGATAGCTGTAGTTTGGTTCCTGTCATTCCACATTTTGACAGCATGCGTCCTTCACATTAAATATAAATACATGCATTTTATTTAAATATCTATTATTTATATATATATGGTTTATTAGTTACATTTCTCAAAATCTACTCTTTATTTTAGTCTGTTTATGTATGTTATACACAGCAAAGCAAATTCCTTGTACATGAAAACTTAAAAACTAAAAATGTTTTATAATTAAATACTGATTCCTGTTTTAACAGATAAAAGTGTGTGTAATTTCTAAAAAAATAAACAGTCAATGGTCCAGCTGAGTCATGTTATACATTTCACATGATTAGATTACACTTACTTTATTGATCCCAATTTGGGAAATGTTTTTTAATAAAGTAAATCTAATTTGTGAATTCTGATTTGTATGTTCACACTTAAAATCGCAACCGGGCACAAGGGTTTGTATTGTGGCACTGGAAAAATAATGTAATATTCTACCCTGCATTAGGAGGGTCTGTTGGGGTTCCGGGGGTTCTGCTGACCTCCAGCGGCTCTCAGCTGCAGCTACAGCCGGGCAGGGTAACCTCCTCACGGCCAACGCTCTGTGTTTGTGTGTATGTGGAATGCGGGTCAAGCGGAACCCACGGCTAAAAAACTGCGCTTCAAATCAAGCTCAAAAAACCCGGCTTTCATCGGCCTGACGTGCTCTGTATGTACCGTCCACTTTATTATCAACTCTACGCAGGTTTACATGAAATGCATATGTGCCGAAATCTTCTTAACCCGGCTTTTTGAACGAGTTAATATTTCCAGTATGGTCGCAGTCCGCTGGAAAACGCGACACCATACCGTCATTTAAAATGGCGCCAAAGATTAACACCAGCCAGTGGATAAAAACTGCCACTCTGTGCCCTGAAGGCTAGCAACACAGATAGCACAAACAACTTGTTTAGTTAGTTAACAGCGTCCATGAGTGTTTTCACATGTCAGTTAGTATGTCTGAATTGATTATTGACCCCTAACCTTTATGACAGCTAGCTGATTGAGGACTGTTAAATAAGGGGAGGCTCCATACATGCCAACGGTTGTGTTAGCAGCTAATGCTAAATACATTACATAGATGTAGCCTCAAGCTAACAAGCTAGCTCCAACAGCAGACGTGAGCTAAATGTAACGTGGCATACCACGCCTGTCGAAAAACATTAATATGTAGCGTAAACCCTCCTCAAATTAAACTTTTTAAAACAATTACTTATTTCAAGCTAACAGACGTAAACAAATCCTTATCCGTACATCCTTAATAAACAACATTTCATTTTGTGGGTGGGGGCCCTCATGTTGCATAACATGTTGCGGTTAGCTCTGGCTAACGTTAGCCAGCTAGCATTTTGAGTAATATAAAAAAAAGGCAGAGCTATGTGGTCTGATTTAAAGCTAATTGTGACCTTATCGTAGAAACCACAACATTGCTTTGCTTTGGTTGCTGTGTTGCCGGGGGAACAGTTACAAACAACTGTTGTAATCATGCTAGCTACAGTTAGCCGCTAGTCAGTTAGCCCTGCTTCAAGAAGGGGGCGTCGTAGAGACCGATGCTCGCCTGCCGTTAGCTTAGCCTGCTACATTGGGGTTAGCACCTTTACCCTCCCTGTGCCACGCTGACTAAAGCAGAACCTTAGATATGTCGATCAGGAGTTTTAAAGAGTCCCCGTTGACGTGTTTGCCACTGAACTCATTACATTGATAAAAAGGAGTAGTTCCCTGTCGGTGCTGCATGTGGTTACTTCTTGTTGTCATCGCTGAACAGTGGCTGTGGTATGTACGCATCTTTAGCTTCAAGGGCTGGTTATGTGCTGTCAGATCAGTAAGGAAACGTAAAGTGATAAGCTAATATTGGCTGTTTCAGGTACGGATTTGTTTGCATATGTAGATATAGTAGTAGAGTAGAGCTAATGTACAGATTTCTAGACATAATTCAGAAGAAGGGCAAGATGATTGTTTTGTTAGAAATTAAACTGATCCTCAATAAGCACATTAACTGTCGAAGTGCTTCATCGTGTTGATAGTATCTGCTAGTACATCACGTTTACTTTCCTATATATACTGGAAACTAACTTATGGTAATGTCTTGTATGTTAAAAGTGTCTTCAAAAGTTGTTTGTGTGTTGATTTTCTCAGTCTGGGCCAAGCAGACATTTAAACATCAACAACCTTAAGAGAGTTTACTGAATATTACTTCTTATGCCACAAAGTAGAACAAATTATTGAAATGGTAAAATGCTAAAGTTCCAACTTTGAAATGCTGTCATAGTGTACTAAGAGTGTAAATTGGTACAGAAATATTCTATAAAATGTGGGACCCCTCCCTGAACTTTGTAGATTCTGGTATATCTGGCCAAATGCTGCCAGGGTTGCCTTGATTGTTCTTTTTGCAAGTTATAATTGAAGCATCTGGTGTTTCATACATGAATCTGAGCCAGTGTTTTGTTTTTCTATTGTATGGCATTTAGGGATTGTTCTCTCTCCTATGAACTCCATAATGTATCCACCTTGTGGTAAAAATGTAAATATACTGTCAAAAAGCACCAACAAGAAAAAATAAGACTCCTAATCCTAATATTGTCATTGTCAACATATGATCATGATTCATGTGTGTTTGAGTCCGACTTATAGTTTTTTTTATCATTGCTGTATATTTTGCAGTGTTTTATCAATCTTTTCTGTAACTTAACCTCCTGACTTGTAGGTGTGCAGTGTCCTTATGTCAGAGCTCCAGAGACGGGCGACGATGAAGAGAAACAGGCATCCCAGCAGCAGTGACGACTCCGACAATGGAGAAGTACAATATTGAACTCGGCTGACTCATTCATACCAAATCTAAATATAGCTTGAATCAGTTCGAGCTAACCTCCTTCACCTTCCTCAATTTCATAAGTGAACGTGCAAAGCGGCAGAAGTATTTATTCTTTAAGATAATGATTCAATGTTGTTCAGGTTTTTGTTATTTTCATTTGTAATGGTCACATTTTGTAAACCAGCACATTTTGTCAAGAGTCCTTTTCTGAAGTGCATCTCATATCTGTTACTGTGTGTGTCAGTCAATGTATATTCATGTTCAGGGAGGACATCGAGACAGAGTAAAGGAAAGAAAAGCAGCAGTTGGGACAGAGATTAAGGAAAAGAAAGAGAAGGCCTACAGTCTGAGAGACAGGAGACAGTTTAGGGACACTTGGAGCTCTAACGACATCCTGGCAGGTCAGACAGACAGAAAGGCTCAAATCTGACTTCAGTTACAACTTCATAAACATGTGTTGTTTTGTTTCATCCTCTAAAGTATCTCTGATGTGTGGGGTTGTACCTCATTGTATACTATATTGGGGGTAAGCAAATAATTGTGTTGATTTGGTGTGATTATTTGGATTGACTTATTATCCAATATATTCTGTTGCTGTCGTATTAAAGCGATCAAACCCAAAGATCGGATTCAGGGTTTCGTTCGGTGAAAGTTAAACGCATTATTAAGAAAATCCTCCAGGTCTTTGATGTTCAACATGCCAGTGAAATTAAAGGCTTCAGTCTCATTGAGGTGGGTTTTTTAATGCCTCCTTGATTGTTCCTGCTTTCATACATTTTATATTAATCTTAAGAAAAATAAATAAAAGAAGCGAATACATTTAATTGAAAAAAGAAAAATATCAGTTGAACCATTTGGACTATCCAAAGGAGCCACACTTGTATCTAAAGTTTTTGGTCAATAAGAGCAGCTGAAACAGACAGAAAACACGAGACACCTTTCATACTCGTTGTGTTTCTCCTCCAGGTAATTCCACGTGCTGGTCACAACATTCATCACAGCCAAGAAGAGGGAACGGGCAAAAACCCTCTGAGGTACGTCTCTCTAAACTCTTAATTGTATAGGATGATAAGAAATTGGGGAAAATCTATCATAGGTCATGAGTTATCTTCTGCTGTCATGTTCTTGTTTTATTACACTTTTTATCTTGAAAAGAAATCACATACACACATAAATACTTTTATTTAAAAAAGAATGTTTTTAATAATTTTAATACATATTAATACATAGATAAATACACTTGTCATAAGAGCCTGTATTTTGTCAAACACAGTAATGTTATCTTCTGTGTTGTACGGATGGAAACACAGCTGCTGTTATCTCCTGTTCAGTCTGCAGGCCACTGTGCCCTCTGACGAGAGCCAATCAAATGAAAACAAAACACTGACTCAGGCCTAAGAAGGATCCTGATTGGCTCATTTCTGTCTGGCTATGTGTTGATAACGTGGTCGTCTTTTAACCTTCACATATGCTGTAATACATTACCTTATCTAGCTAACTTATTTTGGTTGTATGCCAGTTTATCTGCACATTTTATTTAACAGTTCCTCTTCAGATGACCCACAAAACAAAGTTGCAGTGTAATTCTATGTTTGAAAAAAAATGTTGTGTGATAAGTCTTGCAAATTAAACAATTGTTTATTGTTAATATACCAGTTTTTGTAACCTAAAATGTGGATATATGATCATTAAAGATCATTATATTTTCTGTCGTTGTGGTGTTTTATGAGGATTGTGAAGGCTTGCATTTATTCCTCTGTCAGCTGTTTACTATAAAACAACAACGGACATTTCCCCCTCTACAAACCACAATTATTCACTGTTTTAGTTCAGTAAAGCATTCTGACTCTTGATTTTAACTCGTCGGTTGGCAGGTTTTTCAGGACCGACCTCATCACAGCCATGAAGGTACATGACTCAAACCAGCTGATCCCAGAGGAATATTACATCCTGGCAGACGCTTGGAGGCAGGAGTGGGAGAAGGGCGTGCAGGTCCCCGTCAGCCCGCAGTCCATCCCACAGCCCGTCGCCAGGTAGGACGAAGACCAGAAAGTCACATGTTGATCCCATATTGTCCTTGAGTGGGAATGCAAGCGAATCGACATGCTGTTTGTGTGGATACGGCTTCTTGTGTTACAGGTGGTACAAGCCTGTTATTTTAAAGTGATTTAGGTTTGTTTAGACAGATTCAGTCAGATCGTTTGATATCCAGCTAAGATAAAGGTACAGAGAGAGGTTTGAAAAAAAAAACCACACTCACAAATTATTAAAGGTGAATATTTAAAAAAAGTAGTTTCATCTGGCATTTGGACCCTCTTCAGTGATATTTTGTGCCCTATTGTCAGGTGGCGTTGTCCCTAAAGGCCAAAAAAAATCGCTCGAGTGTAATTTCCAAGCACCATATGGTGAAGGGACAACATTGTTGTTGTTAGAGGGTGTAGAAAACAAATGTATCATTCAAAGTACCTTAGTGTAAATGCAGGACAGTGCACTGACAAGTCTGCTGACTGTGATGTGCCGCAGGGTGATGGCGGAGAAAGGAAAGGAGGTGATGTTCGTCAGGGCCGAAGAAGTTGATCCGGACCTCGGGCGCCGAGGCTCTGGGCTACGTGGACATCAGGACCGCTGGCAGATGGGATTGTGTCGCTACGACCTCAACGAGGAGGACGTGGCCTGGCTGCAGGCCGCCAACCAGGAGTTTGCAGAGATGGGTGAGTCAATGTTTAAACTGAGGCTGTGGCAACAGGCTGGCAGTCATTTTGTACCTGTACATGTAATTACGCACAATGTTGCTGCTGTGGGAAACAAGGAGTTGACTCCAAAATGTCTGCCATTAACACAGAAAGACTTTTGATCAGCTTGACAACTTGTAACCCTATTTTTTTAAATAAATGTTCCTCTGAACCCATAGAGTAGCATTTGATTCTCGTGTAATATGGAAATGATGAACCTTTCAAGAGACGGTGGTTGTTTTTTATCGACAGAGATACTTTGTGACAAACAAACAATATAAACTTTTACTCCTGACTTCTGCAGCCATACCGCCGCTGGACGAGATCACCATGGAGCGGGTGATGGAGGAGTTGAGCACTGCTGCCACGAAAACATGACGCAAGCCACGGAGACGGAGGAAGGGCTGGGCATCGAGTACGACGAGGACGTGGTGTGTGACGTCTCTGCCGGTCGCCGGACGGGGATGACAACAACGAGATGGTGTTCTGTGACAAGTGGCAAACATCTGCGTTCACCAGGTCAGACGGCGACTCATAGCTCATTATACGCTAAAGTTAAATCTATAATAAAATGCGGCTCATTTAACACAGCACAAACAATTTAAACCCAACCGTGATCCATTAGATACTTTATAAGTCCGACTGATTGTTGGGTCGAAAAGCAAAGTGAAAACGACTCGTATTGCATTTCAGATCAGCTGTAGCTGTGCTTTTATGTGACACACACACACACACATGCTTTCTCCGAGTCTTCATTTGTGGCTACTGTATTGATTTCCACTTGCGGTCTGGCAGCTGAGCCCCCCCCCTCCGTTGTGTTCCTCACCAGGCGTGTTACGGCATCCAGAAAGTGGCCACAGGGAAGCTGGCTGTTGCCGGATCTGCGCCCTGGGCATCCTGCCGAAGTGCCAGCTGTGGCCCCCAAGAAGGGCGGAGCCATGAAGCCCACTAGGAGCGGCACCAAGTGGGTCCACGTCAGCGTGCCCTGTGGATCCCAGAGGTCCAACACACACATTTACATTCTTAATCATTTGTGTGTTTTATTTGACTAAATCCTTTCATGTCACTCTTTAATTTAGCACATGCCTAATTTGCCTTTTCGTCCTATTTTTTGAAGAAACCGTTTTGAATATCTGAAAAGTTATTTCTGACATTGATTTGAATCATTTCAACTTAACAGAAGGAAAACAGCGATCAATCACTACAGTTGTTTGTTATAAGATCTGTTTTCATGTAACAAAATGTATCAGAGAGATTTATTCTGCTTATACTTGCTGTTCAAACATTTTAAACCAACGCCGGTGCTTGTTTCCATTTGGCTCTCTCCTGTTATTCATTTAAACATATCTTGGACTCTCCTCCCGAAGAGAAATGAAAGTTGATGTTGAATGTGCTTTGCAGGTGAGCATTGGGAATCCAGAGAAGATGGAGCCGATCACCAACGTGGTCACACATTCCCAACAACAGGTGGGCTCTGATCTGCTGCATCTGCAAAGAGAAGTCCGGAGCGTGCATACAGGTAGAGTCAGCGCTCGCATCTCAACCCTACCATGCAGAGAAACATTTAATGAGACGTGAAGCATCACCAACGTTTTTTTAAAGATTCCAACTAGTATCTTACTTTTCTGAGTGATCACAATCTAACCATGAAGGTGAAGTATCTTGGGTTTTGACAGAGGCAACATCTCTAAGCAGTAAGTTGCTTGTTTTTGTGAGAGAGCAGCTTTCGGTCTCTGGAAGATTGACCCGGTCACTTTGAGAGATTCTTACTGACCTGTGAAAGAGAAAGAAAGTTTTCTACTAACTGAAGCTGGTTTAGTAGCCACCATTATTTTGTGCATCTTGCTTAGATTTAATGTGTCATCATTAAATGACTCATGATACCGTGTTTTAAAAATGTTAAACAACGTTGTGTTTGCCGCTGTAGTTGCTTCAGCCAAAAACTGCCGGACTGCCTTCCACGTGACGTGCGGCCTCCACGCCAGCATCGAGATGGAAACACCATCCTCAACGGAGGAACTAACGAGGTCAAGTTCAAGTCCTACGTGCCCCCAACACTCGGGCTGGTAGGGCTGACGAGTCCAGGGACCGAGACCCGAGGACAGAAGGAGAGCGCCAAAGACAATAAGGGCGGGAGGAGAGGGCGGGTGAGAGGCGAGGAAGACACCGCCTCCTCCTCTTCCTCTTCCCACGTGGCTCCTCAGATCCTCCACAGAGTGCCGAGCCACCTGGAGGAGCTGAGCAGCCGGCAGCAGGAGAAGAGGGTCAGCCTCCGCAAGCTGAAGCTGCAGGAGATGGAGGAGGAGTTCTTCCAGTTCGTGGAGGTGGAGGAGGTGGCGGCTCACACGAAGCTGCTGCCGGAGGTGGTGGACTTCCTGTTCCAGTACTGGAAGCTCAAACGCAAAGCCAACTTCAACCAGCCGCTGCTCACGCCCAAGAAGGACGAGGAGGAGAGCCTGGCGCGCCGCGAGCACGAGGTTCTGCTGCGCCGCCTGCAGCTCTTCACCCACCTGCGCCAGGACCTGGAGAGGGTAGGTCTACAGCTCAGAGCCAGGGGAGGAGGAGGGGCCAGAGGGAGGAGGAGGAGGAGGGGCCAGAGGGAGGAGGAGGAGGGGCCAGAGGGAGGAGGAGGAGGGGCCAGAAGGAGGGACTGAACAGAGAAACAGATTACATGATATATTTATTCGTTTTATGTGGAAATGCACTGCGAGGATTGCTTTTTTAAATTTCGTTGTACCTGGTGCGATGACAATAAAGGAATTCTATTCTATTCTATTCTATGAATATAAATCCATACGAGCATTGTGGAAATGTTCCACAAAGTGCTTCTTTGTAGATAAGATGTATTCACTTAACAGCAGGAGAAAACACAGGATAGAGGGAAGAACCAGAAAGAAATATTTAAAATGGCATCAATATATTAGAAATGTAAAGGATCTATAGAAATAATTGAGATCAGATAACTACAGTATAGCTGCTTCTCCTGCAGATGAGACAGGAAGTTGTTAGGAATAATGTTACTGTCCATCTCTCTTGATCTGTCTGTGACCCCAAGTCCATCAAGCAGCATCCAGCCTTTATTTTAGTTTTAGAAAGATCAATTCACATTCCAGTTTTATTTGAAAAAGGGGGAAATGCTGTCAAATATGACTCACATGCTTGTTGACATGCCTACTGGAGCGATTGGGAGTTTAGTGTCTTGCTCAAGGACACTTCAGCATGTTGACCCCCAGCCACAGCAGCCATACTGTGTTTAAAGTGGTTGTAATATAGAACAGCAGCACATTTAAGAAGCAGAATCAGGGTGAGCTATTGTTCAAGTGTTGGTCGAAAGTTCTTGTCTAAAGAAGCTGCTGCTGTTTCTCCTCAGGTGCGTAACCTGACCTACATGGTGACTCGGAGGGAGAAGATGAAGCGCTCGCTGTGGAGAGTCCAGGAGAATATCTTCCAGCACCAGATGAAGCTGCTGGACCACGAGCTGCTCACCGGTGAGTCAGCAATACCAGAAATATTTTATTAGAACTCCACAAATCAACTTCATATGCCAATAATATGTTCCAGCTCGTTTGGAGCTTTTGTCGTCAAAAACTAAAAGTAATTTCTGCCGTTTTAAAAGTTGGATACTCCCATTAACAAAGTCTGCTTCATAAGAAATGGAAAGGGGGGAGAGGATAGACTTTATTTTTGTCCCAAAATAATAAGTAAACATTGGTGTTTCTCTGTTTGACATTAAATAAGATCAAAGTTTAGTAAAATAGGAAGTCAGTAGAAGATAATATAATACCGTTACACTGACTCTGTCCATCATATCTCTGTTGCAGGCGATCCCTCAGAGAAGGATTTGGAGAAGCTCTTCTCTCTCTCGACTGGTTATCCTCTCAGGGGCTCCGAGTCTGGACTGAAAACCAAACGAGGGTCTTCCAAGCAGGAAAGAAGAAGTGCCGACAGCAAAGGCCTCTCCGACTCCCTCACAGCCACAAGAGGGACAGTCTGAGCAAACCTCCGGAGATGAAAGACAGTAAAAGCTCCCGGGTCAGAGAGTCTGCCGAGGACACGAGAACTGGCAAACCCCAGACCTTCGAGATGAATCAGGAGCTTCTCTTCCCGAAGCTCCAGAAACCAGAAGTCTTTCAGGAATCTTCGCACAAACCCGAGAGCAGAAAAGGCCCCAAGAGGGAGGCCCAGAGGACAGAGCAGGAGACGCTGGTCAGACTGAAACGAGACGAGGACGAGACAAGAAGGAGAAAGAGGAGGAGCGACCTGACGGAGAGCCAGGGGAAGAGTCGCTTCGGGGCCAAACTGCTGGACAAAACCGTGTCCATCCGGCTGGTGGACATCAGGAGCTCGGACCACAACAACTACTTCATGGGAGAAGGGACGACCAGGAGGAACCCCTTCTCGCTACAAGTGAGCCCCAACACCAAGCTCTCCGGCGCTCCGAGAACCAACGGCTGGACGAGGAAAGCTCCGGCAAACGGCTCGCACACATCCAGCCGAAACGTGAGCGGACATCTGAGGAGCTGGGGGAAGTTCAGGATCCCCAAGAGGAGCGAGAAGCCGGCGAGGGAGCAGGAGGACGAGGAGGAGGAAGAGAAGGAGGAGCTGTTGTTGAGTCCGCTGACCAACGCGCCGCAGACGTCGTACCCCAGGACGAGACTCCGCTCGGGGACGGAGCACGACGGCTCCGCCTCCGACTCGTGCGGGGAGGCGGAGCCGTGCCTGAAGAGGTGTCACTCCCACCGGCTGAGGGGGGGGGGCGCCTCTCGGGCCGCGCTACGGGTCGGACATCATCCGCCGGGGCGTGCTGGCCTCCTGATGGCAGAATAAGCTGCACTGTGTTAATTGTAAAAACGATCGCTCTCTATACCCTTATATTTTTCTCGATGAATCATACAAATGCCTAGATTAAGAAACAGAGTTGATATTTATTTTTTATTTGTAACATATGTAAATCTGAGAAAATGTTTGACTTTTTTTGAGCAGGTGTTTATTTTTTCTTTCTTTCAAAAGTAGAAAGATGTCAGGTTGCCACTTAAACGCTGCTCAGATATTTACAAGCGAAAGCATCACTGAGGGATTGTTGCTCTCGGGACCAGAAGCTTGCAATGTCAATTTTTTTATTTTACATAGTATTAAACTCAGTTGTACTTAGTGGGAAAAAGCTGACGGACGATTTGATCGCGACAGTGATATGGGATTCTTTAGATCTTTTTTTTTTATATCAAGCTTCGTTGGATGGGTTACAGCCACAAACAGGAAGTAAAACTGCCCTTTTATTCAATCTCCAACTGTCATGATTTCTTCAGATTGTTGGAACATTATGAACTGAGAAACATACAAAAAAAAGGAATTTCAGAATGACGTTAACGTGTCTTTAGCACTCAAGTGTTATTCAACTGCGAACCGATCGTATCCATCATGTGCCTAACTTTTTTGTGAAGCTTTTGCACTACGAGAGGACGGCACAGGTGTGAGCTATGAGAGGAATATTTTTACACTGAAACATTTAAAAAGCGTTTTGTACCCTCGGCCGCTACTGTATTACTGTTATGCAAAAGGGAAACTTGTCTTGTCGGAAAGAGGAATAAAAACTCTAGGAGACCTAAAGTCTGTGTGTGATGTTTATATTTAAAGTGTTTTATTAGGAACTTGCCGTGCAGCCTTTCCGGTAAGAAGCACATTTTCTGAGGAGGAAAGACATCTTAAAATATTTATTTTGTTTATACTTTTTATATATTCAACAAAAAAATACCACTATGAAAACTAGTAATTAAGTATTCATTAAAGTCATTTTATACAAAGTACTGAACATTTGCTAGTTCCAGATTCTCCATTGTGAGATTGTGTTCTGTTTTAGCTTAATGTAAAATGAATATCTTGGAAGGTTTTATAGAAATATTATAAACATTTCATTGTGGAATTTATTGAATAACAATGATTTAAGTTTTCGACATGCTGCTACTAGGATGTTCTTTTTATATTGTCGACATGTCCTGATGTTTAAAAATATATACCAGTTGTTTTTAAGACGCTTTTTATAACATTTATGAAAAACCTATCCGATGACTTTCCAGAACATTGGATGAGGTTTTTATGACAAACTATACTTTTATCTTTAATAAAATATATTTTTAAAGACATTTCGACAAATCAACATTATGTAGATTATTTTCAATACTATGACATTTAGGAATTTTACTATTTTATGTCTTAATGACATCAAACTTTGACTTGTAATGACATACTAGTACGACTTAACATACTTTACCTAAAAAGTGTAATAACACTTTTATTTTTAATTGAATTGTATTTATATAATGCCATTTCTTATTTGACCTTTTATTCGTAAGCATACTTTACAATGAACTTATTGACATTGGTCCAACCAACAGTCAAACACTTAAGGTAATTATCAGAAGACTAAGAAAAAAGTAGAAAAAATACAAGGTAGACTAATCTAAACATTTATTATCTAAAACACATTTAAAGGGCCTGAAGTTATTTGATCAAAACAAAAAGCGCCGCATCAGGCAGACAATCGATGCATGTTGTTCACTTTTTATTGCACGATTCAACAGACGTGAGATCCTGCACAAAAGTGTTTCAGCACTGCATCAAGAAAAAACAAAACATACGATGTCAGAGAAACTGTATATTTACAATAAATGCATCACTATTACCACTTATACAGTATGTACATATTAGTCTCTGGTTCACTAGGACAGTAGTTACAGAAGGAAACGGTACAGCTCTACAGGTTTACAGTGCTAACAAAACAACTGGCTGGTCTACATTCACTCAACACGACCGTTAGGATACAAAGAAAGTGGAAAAATACTCGTACGACACTCGCTGCAACCCCGGACGCGTCGCATTCACACGCCCTGGGAAGAAGGAAAACACTTAAAAATAAAACAAAAAAAGGTGCGGTTATAAAAAAATATATCCAAAAATGCACTGTTCTCGTGTCACTTGGTGTACAACTTAAAGGTTTTAGAGGAAAAACTGAAAAGCCCAGACAGTAGCCTTTAGATGAACTGGTCCAGTTGATCCAGATATTAAAACTTTTTTTATAAATAAACGTCAGATATGAAATAAAAACGGTGCAAAAACTGTCCATAGCCTCAACATTCTTGGACACAAAACCCTAATGAGCCAACCCCCAAAAAGGTAAACTTATCACTCGAATATGCAGACTTGAATATGAAATGTGAGACGAGCATCTCAAAATTCAAAACGGAAAAAGAAAGAGCCAGCTTTTGTTTTTTGCTCAACCAACACCAACTTCAAATGGAACAAATGTTCCTGAATGTCTGAAATAGTTCAAAGCTCAGACTATAGTGGCCATTTTAGGACATCTTGGACAGAGTGTTTAGGGCTCAGCTCCACATTTTCAGCCTTTTAGATTTCCAGCTAGTCTACGGGACTCATCACCCCTCAAAACAAGTTGCTAGCCAGCGTTTAGAAGTACAAGCTAGATGCCGTTTAAGACTCAAAATCTCCTGGAATAAAAACAAAAGACGTCTGTCTTTTAAAAGCTAATCTACAGATGAAATATGAATGGTTTTACGCTCAATGAAAGGCTCGGCCAGGTGACACTGAGAGGTCTTCAACATTTTAATAGGCATCAAAAAAAGTGACAGCATATTAAGTGTCAGTCTCAAAACTCAATGTAGAACTTTCTTCCTGAAAATCACACTTATTCCTTCATGTTTCTGGGTAGCCTCGAGCAGTAAAGACCCAGTAGTGTTTCTATTTAAGGCGGCAGTTTAAGAGCGTCTCTCAGTTTAATACTTTTAAAACCCCATGGTTCTCTGGTTCAGCATTCTGATCCCTAAATGAAAACAAGACTCTAAAACGGTAAATCTGAGCTAAAAACAACAGGTTGTAAAATAGCAAACAAATGTCTACGGTTAAATGTAACCTAACAAAACAAAAAGGTCATCTGAAGCCATAGTGTCTGGTTTACCTCTGGCATATATACTATATATAAAAATTAAAACGTTTTTGCAACCGGTTTGAAGTTTTACACTATTCATAATGTTTGTCTTTGATATACACATATATAGATATAGCTATAAAAACTCTGCTGATGATCCGTGTGAAGTGATGGGGGGGGGGGCAAGCTCAGTTTGACTTCCTGCAGAAACCCACTGGTTCCTTTTGTTATTCTAATATAAAAGAGTAAAAAAGGCAGTCCTGTTGGATGAAGAATGAGGGTAGAAATAGGCACGTGTTCTAACCTGCGCTCGCTCTGCAGCTTTTCACCACAGATGGTTCGCCTCAGTGCGGAGAAGAGAAATAAACCTGAACACGTTTAAAAGTTAAGAACGTTAGAGGCCGCTGCCGAGCATGTGAGGAATCAGCGGCTTTCCCTGATGAAGATGTACCGTGCCTTGGTTTTGTGATCTTGCGAGACTTAAGTAAGCAGGGTTTATATTTGTCCACCAATGGGGAAACACGTGTCAGAGTGGTTTCTCTCTGAGGGGTCAGAGGTCACTTTTAGGCCTCTGCTGCTTTCCTCTTGGAGCCTTTTATTTTGGCGGGGGCTCCTCTGGCCTTCCTGGAGCCTTTAGCAGGACGAGCAGTAGTGACGGTCGGTGTTGTCGCGTTCGGCCCAGAGGTTTCCACCGGTTCCTGGGTGATCGTTCCCTCCAGCTCCTCGTGCTCCTGACAGCACATCTGCCCCGTGGGGGGCCAGGTTTGCAGCGCCCCCTCCTGGTGGGCCTTGCAGAAGGAGTTGGGGCAGAGCTGGCAGAAAGCCTCCGAGGTTTTCCCGCAGACGTCACAGTGGTGCCAGGGGCAATCCCAGCGGCCTGCAGGGAGCGAGAGAGGAGAGGAAATGTTTTTCAGAATACATGACAAATAATTGTGTTGAAATAAACTCACACACTGTACAAAAGAGAATAGAAAGAACCTGTGATAACCACAGTTACAAAGATTAAACTCCTGTAAAGAGTATTTGAATGGTAATGAACGTTAAATCAAAGAGAAAATGATACTTTGTTTACATGTACTAACAGTTTTGACATTAAAACAGTAGTTTTGATCAGATTCTCTATAAAAAGCTGCAGTGAGTTTCAGGCGTTTCCTACCGAAGGGTCTCTTGGTGAGGTTCAGGCAAGTCAGGTGATACGCCTTGCTGCACATCTTCTTGTCGCAGAGCACCAGCTGCCCTCCGTCTCCGCAGCGGAAACAGTCGTCATCAGACTTCTTCTTCCCCTCCGCTTTCTTCTTCTTATACTTTCTCTTCAACCGCTTCCCTTTGGGCTCAGCTGTCTGTCCGTTTGAGTTCTGCAGAGGAGACGCCAGGTTGGGATCGAATTGATCTACACTGCACACTAGGGCTGTCCCGAATATCATTTTTCGGGCTCCGGATATTCGGTAGTAGTCAGCAGCGAATATTCGGCCAACGCGGGGGGGGGGGGGGGCGTAGTAATCAGCAGCGAACCGCTTCAACACGTGTATTTTGGTAATTCAAGGCATTCATTGTTATTCTACAGTATTGTTGTTTTATAGTTATTAACCCAATTTGTGTTCTTTGAAATTGAAAAGGATATCGCATTGTGTTTGTTACTTTCGTTGCAGTTGTATATGTCTGAAGTGTAATTTGGCTTGGCTTCCTATTTATGGACATGCTTTTATTTTGAAGGAGAGTTAGCGCTGTTGACAGGAAGTTGTTGTTGCTTTGGAAACAACGTGACGGAGATTAACGGAGAAAAGTAATATCTACATATAAAGACGGAGAAAGTAAACGATAGCGTTTATGGTTAAGTGTTAGCACCCCCCGAACAAGCTCTTACGTTGATATTGGAGATTTCAATAAATTACATTTAAAAAAAACAAAACGGGGGAAAAACAAACAAAACGAATAACGAAATTGAAACCCGAATAGTACTCCAACGAACGAATATTCGGGTACAGCCCTACTGTATACATGTACAATTCAATACAGTTCAAAAAGTTCCGCTCTGATTATAAAGCTCACCTTTGGCCGATCACCAAGGAAACCGCTGCAGTTTGGAGCCTCGCAGCGACAGACCGTCTTCTCGTTCCCGAGGCAGTCCAGGTTGTAATTAAAGGTCAGCTCAGTGCCTGGAATAAAAGTTAACATACGTTTGCTCTCAGTCTTGTTACTTCGTTGTAAATGTAATTATTCTTCCCACATATGGCAGGGTAGTGAATAAAGGCTTTCATCGGTGGTCTCACCCTCTGGGATGTCGCAGACGGCGAACAGGCCGACCCTCGTGTCTCCGTTCACCGTCCACTTCTGCGTGTCACAGTTGGGCTGACAGCTGTGGTTCATGAAGCGAGAGTAGTTTCCCTTCGGACCAGCGTCAATGATCCGGTCCTTAAAAAGAAAAGGAAATAATTGCTTTCATTTTTGTCAAATGTATTCATACACTTTCTTTTACCATCATTACAACTTATGTATCACAGAATAGGGACGCTCCGATCGATCGGCCGATATTCACTCTCGGCTAATCGATAGGTGCTCTCTATAAAGGCCGATGAGGAGAGCCGATCACATGACGTCAAATACGGGACACTTTTCTCTGTGCAGCAAAACAAGCTCGCCAAAATGGCTTCACCGGTCTGGCAGTATTTTAAGGTGTCCGAGAAAGACAGTAAAATAGCGGGATGCAACGTGTGTGAAGCAGAAATCCTGATTAATCTCGATACTGATTCCGGCGATCGGCCCCAAATTTCCCGATCGGAGCATCCCTATCACAGAATTCAGTCAAATCTTCTTTTAAAAAGGTTTTTAGTAGGGCGGCCGCCCCGTAGTTTCAGAGCGCATCGAGTTTAATCCGTTTAATCTGTACAATCCAAGCACACTTCTCCTGCCGCCCGCTTGCAGCAGACCACACTTGAAAGTGTGCGGGGGAGACGCCTGGACACGTCTACGAGCAGCAAACGTTCAACAAAGATCGCTAAATGGCTGGCGACAGCTTGCAGGCCAATTAACATCGTGGAGGACGAGGGGCTGCGTGATATAATTCGGGTCGCCTTCCAGAGCCACCACTGTGTCGAAAATACACAACTTGTATGAAGTCCAACATCGAAAGTAGAGGAGGATTTAAGAAAGACTCACCGGAGACTATTGGACTTCACTCAGTAATAAGTTACCTCGGGGTCACAGCGCATTATTTTGACCCACAGTGGGAACTTCAGGCTCATGCTTTGACAGTTATGAAAACAGAGGAGCGGGATTTTGCGCACACACACTTATTATTGTATGAGAGGTTCCAGGTTGAATTAAGGCAAATATTTGTAATGTTCAGAGGTTGTTGTGTTTAATATTCATGAGAATATTTGTCATTGTTCAAATGATAATAAACAAACATTTGCATAAAGCATATTTGTCCACTCATATGTTGATAAGAGTATTAAAAACGTGACAAATATCCCTCTAAGGTACATTTAGAACAGGTGAGAAATGTGCGATTAACTATGGACAATCATGCGATTAATTGCGATTAACTATTTTAATCGACTAACAGCCCTATTGATTTATATTGATTATTTTTTTATTGAATCAAATGTTGTCTTCTTTCATTTTATTTAAAAGACGTTCCAGTGCGTGCCTCCCTTTGCCTGCGACAGGATGGAGAGAACATGTTTGTTGACCGCAGTAACATTGTTTTAGAAGGGCTAAACCATCTCTCTTCAATACATTTGCACTTTAGGTCTTAACAATGATCTGGAGTACAAATAGTATAATACTTATAATGTTAGAGAAGCCAAATGTTACATTTTAATGAAAATTATTCAATGAGAAGAGAAACATTAACATTATTACACTTTTTAAAACTATATATTGTTGTATCATTAGCTTGAATAGGATTCAATCTATGGCCTAAAGCCGGGTTTGTAGTATTGACTCCTGTAACGTTACAGTTTCTAGCATGCAACATTCCCAATGCAATACCATTGTGTTTATCTGGCTCCCAGTAGAAAAGGCTCTGCTACAGAGAAACAGCACCATGATACACTGCGGAGCAAATCAAAGTACTTCCAGCTTCCAGTACAGCACTCACCTTGTCGATGGTGAGCATGTAGAAATCTGTGATGTTGTTCTCGTGGGCGTACTTGATCCTCGCCCTGCACTCCTCCTCGTCTATCAGCTCTCCGATGTACTCGTTCACAAACTCGCCCTGTTGGAGAAGCAGAGATGTGTTCAACTCAAATCTCTTTTATTTTAACTTAATTGTAGGCTCAGTTCCTTTAAAAAAATAAAACCTTTGCACTCAACGAAAGTTTCTTTATGTGTTAGTAAAAATGTAATAAAAAAAGGGAACTAATTTGTCTTTTTGGTCAAAGGTTTGATCAAAGTGAAAACTAGGGATGCTCCGACACTCACTCTCTACCGATCGATCGGTGCTCTCTAAACATGCCGATCGCGAGAGCCGATCGCATGACGTAAAATACATGACACTTTTCTCTGTGTGCGGCAAAACAAGCTCGCCAAAATGGCTTCACCGGTCTGGCATTATTTTAAGGTGTCCGAAAAAGACAGTAAAATAGCGGTATGCAACGTGTGTGAAGCAGAAATCCTGCAGCTCCGCCCGCCGGACCGGTAAGCGAGCGAAACACACAAGAGTTAGACCTAACACACTTCGCTATTTTATCTACCTGGAACAAGCTAAACTAGTTATAAATATATTTATTCTTCACTGTCATTCTTCACTCATCATTACTGGATCAGGGTTAGGGTTCATAACGTCAGCGGGAGGGAGGGGGAGTGGTGCTGAGGAACAGCAGAGTGCGGGCTGACAGGTGTCTGTGTTGACCCTTATTGTGGAATAAGGGGAATGCAGAGACTGGCTACAAGTGTTTTAGGTTCAAGTTAGACAACTAATGTCTGGTTAGTGTTCATGACTTCATGTGTATGTCATCTAATGGTTAATCTCAATGCACACACATTTTCCGTGCTTTCCAATAGTTTAAAATAGTTTTATTCCACTGTTTAATAACCTGTTCAATACAAACATGCCACTTGTAAAAATGAAATAAAATGTCTGTGAACTGATATGTGTTTAGCGAGCTTATTAGAGGATGCTCCCTGAAAGATTGTAAAACGTCAATGAAGATGTCAGACTTAGTATATTTGTTAATAATTACATACAATACATGGAATGTGTGTGTGTGTTCCAAGTGAATCTGAGGCCCCCTGGTGGCCAGTACATAAATGATGTGGCCCCACCACCATCCAAATTGCCCATCCCTGCTCTACACAGTATGCTCTGGCTAGATTAGCTGACAAAATGAAATCTCATGTAGTGTCTTAAATTGAGCCTGATTAATTAGGGATCTCCGAGGCTGAAAACAATATGGAAGTAAAACAAAACATACATTTTAAATAACATTCTTTACTCATGATATCCCTAAAATAAGGAAACATTGAACATTAATTGGATGAGTCTTTTCTGGTCAAATGGCTGGTGTTACTTTAAGCAGTCATATTGCAGGACAGCCCCTCACCTTCTTGATGTCCCGCAGAGAGATCAGGCCCCAGCCCTTCCCGGGCGCCTTGATGATCTTGGTCTCGGGGTAGAGGCGTTTGGTGAAGTCTTGGTTACAGCAGCGCACCCCGCTGGGACACACCTGCGGGTGGCACTCTGTACTGCAGCATGCGGTTCAGACACTCCGACTCAAACCCACACGGCCTGTCCACCGACGGCTTGCAGTTACACTTCGGGATCTCAGAAATGTCCGCAGTGTAGACCTGAACCTTACCGTACGGTTTGTTCACCTGAAGGCAGAAGAAAAAGAAAAAACAATCAACGTCAGGAAAAATAAATAACAAATGATATCTATAAAAGTAAGAAAGCAAACTCTTCAGATGCATTAACTGAATACTTGAACAAAGGAGAAAAAGGGAAAACACTTTTAGATTTCACACCTTGATAAACTTATAAGGGGGTGGCTTTCGCGGTGTTCTCTTGCGCTTCCTTGGCCTCTCGTTTGATTTTGTTCTCCTTGAAACGAGCTTCAGCCTCCAGCAAAGCTGTGGAAAAACAGACATGTGCAGTAGAGATGTTAAGATTCACCGATTCGCATCGGTGCACCGGCATAAACGTTCAAGATGCGAGTGCACCGGTTGAAAGAGTGCACATCGACTACAGTTGGGTTGAACCGGGTTGAACTCGCGATGCATCGATTGCGTAGCGTCTTTGCATCGGTAAAAAAACGATTCATTCATATAAAATCCCCTCATCTCAGCTCAGCAGATACGATCTTTGATATCTTCGCCACTACGGAGGCCGAGAGTCTCAGTTAGTAACACACACGGAAGTTGAGGAGAAAGAGAAACACAGCGCACCGAAAAATACCTACAAATCAAACGTTTGGCAACACTTCGGATTGTTCAAGAAAGACGGTGTAATAGTCCTTTATGCTATAGAGTTGACCGCAGGTCATGGAGAGTAATAAGGTATCCGTAGACCTTTTGTATGAGGTATCTTTATTACTTAACAGGTCTACAGCCATGATACATAGATCCGTCCTAGATGCGGGCTTGCATACACACAGTATCACTCCGCAGCCGCCCCATCAGTAACGTCCTGATGGTATATGTGCGCGGCACAGACGGTCAACTTGAAAAATCGCTCGCAAATTGTTAACGATGCCGAGCCGCTTTAAAGTACACAAGTAGTACGAGGAACTTAGCGACGCACATAAAGAGGCGACATGGGGTCTGCGGCTGAAAAGATAAACCTGAAAGTGAGACATATGAGTTAAATCACTCAGTGAGGTGTTCTGTCAGAGAGAGTGGTGTTTAGTTTACAGCAGCCTGTGACGGCCAATAATAATGTAAATGTATTCCTCACTGTAAGCAGTTATGAAATACCTGTTTGTGAAAGGTTATTTGTATTATTATTGTTCATATAGAACCCACTGCTTTCTGCTCACTGGTGAGTTAGCCTATGAATGAGTGTTAAGCACATCAGGCTGGCAGCTGTATGGGCATTGCTCTATGGTGGTAGCTGTTATTTGCACATTGTTAATCATGAGCAATGCATCCTTACATTGTTTAACTGTGAGGTGTTATACAATTGTACTCTGGAGAGCTTTTAAAGGTAAAAAAATAAACGGCATGATGGGATGTGCAGTACCAAATATGTAAAGCACTTTTTTGTTAATGTATGATTTGCTGCATATAAGGAATAAAACAAAAATCCTCTGTCGTACCAAATTGAAGTATCATTATTTTTGCATCGTGTTGAATCGCATCGTATCGCACCGAATCGCATAATGTTGAATCAAATCGTATCGAACTGTATCGCAACAGGGGAGAATCGTATCGTATCGCATCGCCTGGTGTTTCAAATGTATCGTATCGTGGCAACGTATCGAGATGCGCATCGCATCGGCCTCAGTGATGGAGATGCACATCCCTAATGTACAGGCTTATCACATGATCTCTCTGTAAACATTTAGCTGAAGTTAAAACAGTGCAAGTATGTAAACAGTGCAATTTCAAAACTAGCACTTTTCAATTAGACAGTTTATGCTTTCTTAATTGTGCTTATATTCTTTTAACTTGATAAATGTGAATTTGGAAAACATTTATAAAATGCATTGTATAAAATGATTCTGCGGATTACCTACATTTAAAAAGTTCCCCTTAACCTGTTCAGCCCTGAGCCTGGTTTTCAGGTCTCAGGCTTCAAAAATGACATGCCCAGAACGAATGACCAGAACTTCACTTCTAAAAAGGTACATTGATAATCTTTTTTCTCAAAGTAATGATAAACCTGTGAGTTGGATGTAGAAGAGTCAGAATCAATATAGATGTTTTTATTTTAAAGTAAATTCAGATTGAACATAGTAAAAAAAATGTAAATGATTGTGTCCATCCAAAAAAACCATTACTTATCGTGAAACCCACCCTTGAATGATGGGATGGTACTAAAAGCTTTAGGATCCAAACTATAACATATGATAAGTACCCTGTATCAAAATTGATGCAAAACAAGTGACATTTGACCTTTTTAGAGAGATTTAGAAGAAAAACCCACTTCTGGGGTCATTTGGGGGCATTTTCCATATCTCTGGAACCCATTGGTCGATTTGGATGATTGACACCTCTTTTTAACCGTAGAGCCAATAGAATCGAGGGGAGGTTCCTAAAATCCATCTAAACATTACCCATTGGTGAATGAGTGCTGCGCAGCCAGAATGCCCAAACCGGAAGCTGTCATACACTCTCGTAGCTATCATAGCAGCTATATATGAAAACTCCATAAATATGAAGATGGATTATCAGAAATCATTTCTAAGTGACACAGACACATTGGATTAACCTATCGATTGACCTTCAGCAGCGTTTTTATCGTTTGAATGCCATTGAACACAACTTTTGATCAGAACAACAGCAAAGGTGTGTGTGTCTGGTTTGCTTCCCATGCCGTGAGTTTTGATCGCACAGTGATGACACCCCTAGAATCTGTGTAATCTCAGTTTGCTAGCTGATATCTGTTTTTAAATGTTAAGAAGCCCTGAGACACAGTTTCGTGAAAAAACTGGTTATGTAAACATAAACTTTAACCCTCAACTATAAATGTAAAAGGTTAAAATCAAAACAAGCCAAACACTTTTATGTGCAGAAGTTGTGCTTTGATGCAATTTTCATTACTTTTGTGTTTCTTTTGTTTTAATGACTTTTAAATCACAAAATGTGTCCAAAAAGCGTTTCTAGGAAGCAGAGGTTGCGCTACACTTTTTCACTGCCCGCCATTTTGACGGACAGGATCGTAAAATTTCCGGCAAAATTCAGTATTACCTGTCGGCCATTACACTCTGGGGGGGGGAGAGAGAGAACTGTCAACGGGGGAGGGGGGGGGGGGGCACGGTCGTGAACTGTCAATGGGGGTGTGGGGGCGGGGCGCACGCTTGTGAACTGTAGCGCCGTGTCATGCATGCCCCTCGCGGGAGCGCACAGCGTAAAGCCAAAACTCACAAACATTTCAATGATCTGTTCGGCAAAGTACGGTTTGGAAACGGTATCATTTCCTTTTTGGCGGGCATGCTTAACACCGGAGCCTCGCTGCGGGGAAACTTTGGCGCTGTTCCGAGTTTGTTCTAATCCGTCAAAATGATGGACTGCTTTCAGATTTTTCCGTCATTGTTAAAAAAAATCCATCGGAAAATATTCGTTAACGCGACCTCTGCGAGGAAGTATATCTTTACCGTTCTTGAAGACTTTTCCGATGCTGGTCCCCTGGTGCTTGCTGCCTCGGTCTCCCTCCATGTAGGGAAACACTCGGCCCTGGTGAGTCCAGAAGTAATCCTTGGAGCCAAAGAAGAAGACGGGGAACTCTCCGATCTCATGGCGAAGGTGCTGGATGTTGGTGGGGACATTTCTGGGGTGGTGGATCTCTGCAGGCCACCATCTGAAGAGGAAAGGGGAAGGAACAAGAGTTAGTTCTTTATTCAGAGTCACAGTCCCAATACAGAACCACAAGGAACACGAGCGTTCCTGTAAAATTAGAACAGATAGAAAGAAATCCGAATAAGGGAAGAGATTCTCTGACCTGTATGTTCCCAGTTTGACCCAGATGATGTCTCTGTATTGGGGTTTCTTTCCGGCTCGGCAGTCGTTACAGAACCAGCTCCCATCAGGCATAACGATGTTCAGGCAGTCGGGGTGAAAAGCTGACGGACAAGACTCGCAGCACAACAGCTGGCCTCCTGCAATATAACAAGTAACAAGTCAGAATCATCAAAGCTGGCAAAAGAGCCCAAATGAACGATCAAATCATCTGTGCAAAGGAGATAGAGATGTGTTTAAGTTGTGAAGCAGCACGTTTACAGGGGAACTTAAAGAATTACGTTCGTATCGATTTTAAGACTAAGAAGCTATACATTTGATACGCTTTTACTTTTGTCTCTGCAAACGTGGATGTGGTTCTAACTGAAAACTGATGCTCAGGGACTGCTCTAGTTCAGCATCTCGTTTGATTTTCAGTTTGCAGTATGTTGTTATAAACAGCTCCACAGCCAGCCCTTAGAGATTAAAGAGATACGCATTATTTAGAGACTAAACTTTGTTTCTACAGAACATTAACTGCACTCTCTGCAGCGCATAATACAAAAAGCTATTATCTATTGATTCTGACAGCACAACAGACCCTTCAAATTCTGTCAGACAAAAATGACATAAATGTATTGCTATTGGCTGTCATGCTGATTAGAGAGCAATGGCAAACCTTTGGAGCAGACGAAGCACCAGCTGACGTTCACATGCGTGTGGTGCCTGTACCCCTTCTTGGCACTGAAGTGGTTGGTGCAGATGAAGGCCGTGTTGGTGATCATCTCACTTCCCGCAGCCGCACACAGGTCACCCACGTGGTACGCCACGGGGCAGCGCAGGCAACGCATCAACTTCCCTGCAACAGCAAGATGGAGGTATACAGCAGATTAGACCGATTCACCACACTCAGGTTTTGTACTCAGAAGTGACAAAACATATCTGATAAAGAAAAGTGATAGATAAGGCTTAATGTTTAGGGTCTCATTTGTCAGAAAACGGGAGTTGACTGCTTCATATTGCAAATTAATCTTACTATGGGTTAAAAATAAAAAAGGATAATTTATTTTCTAATATTATAGAAAATGTTGTCCAAAAAAATAAATATAACTTCAGCTACTTTTAACTTAAAAAAAATGCAATCTGTAAATTATGGCAGGACATTTAGTTTCAAAATGTTAAATAGTTGAGATATAATGATGATGTCTTTCCCACACAACTTTAATACAGCCACACAATCACCGCCTGAGGGTATGAGGATTAGCATGAAGGAAATCATCAACTCAAGGGTAAGTGCCAATACTTAATTATATAAACATGAAATAAATGTTCTTGAAACTAAGCAACTAGTGCATTTGATCCTTTACCTGGACCATGATTGAACTACAATCGCAGGACTAACATTAACTCCAAATGAAACAGAATTTAAAACAGTATAAAGTCACATCTTTAGTGTCGCACAGCCTCACCCTTAGTGGACTTCTGCTTGTTGCGGCAGTCGAAGTTGCAGCTGAGGCAGGCGTGCAGCGGACAGCGGAGGCCCTTGTTGTCGAACACAGTGAGGGGGTTGAGGCTGATGCACGCCTCGTGGTAAAACTTGCCGCAGTTTTGGACGTGGCAGCGACGCAGAGTCCCATCCGACTGCTTACATTGGAAACATGAGTGAATCCCTGAGGAAAGCATCGAGGGAAAACATGTTAAACAGCAATAGATACAAATATGCATCCAAATGTAATTCTGTTATCACAAAAAACTGAGTTACCAAATATTTTTGACTCACCTGTGCTGCACTCCTGACACAGCAGCTTCTCGTCAGGTTTGACTGACGGACCCAGACATGGAGGTGAAACATCCCACAGCACTGACCCTCACAGGCAACTAGGTCCTCACCAGCCTGCTGACACACCTGCAGGAAAAACACACAGATTGAGACATATGTGGAGGTAGAGACATTTTACTGAGTGATCAGGAGAACAAGATATTTTACTGGCAGAAAGTGTGAAAGTATGTCCATATTAAGCGTCCTTAGGTTTCATGAAAAGCACTATATGAATGCTATATCCAGCATGCATGATGGCTGTTGTTGGCTATGTTTTAAATGTATTATCTTTTCAATTTACACACGGCATCTATTGCACGTCTGTCCGTCCTGGGAGAGGGATCCCTCCTCTGTTGCTCTCCCTGAGGTTTATTCAATTTCCCCAACTAACTGTGGGTTTTCTCTGGAAGTTTTTCCTTGTACGATGTGAGGGTCTAAGGACAGAGGGTGTCGTATTGTCATACTGATATTCTGTACAAACTGTGAAGTCCACGGAGACAAATGTAACATTTGTGATATTGGGCTAAAAAACATTGATTGATGTTAGAAACAAGCAAAGCGGCATTTGCACATTTAATTCAATGTAAGGACAGTGGGATAGTGAAGACGTACCTGGCAGACAACTCTTTCTTCCGTTCGCCCTTCTTTATCCCGTCTAAGCGTCAATTGGAGAATCAGGACGTCCTTCACTCCCAGAACCCTGCAGCAAATAACATGTGGGG